GCCTTTTGGTATGCATCAATACTCAACATCAATAACGTCATTGCATGAATATATTCATAACATATTGTTCGTCTATTATATTGTTCCATTTCCATAAATATATTGTTATAATGACATTTACATTAAAAGATATTATTATATGGTTACTATAAGGACAAGAAACTTTACTTTTACGAAATTAATTATAGATTTAGATACATGTTCATGCAAAAACTGATAAAAGCAAATTATGACCAAAGCAAATACATTAGTTAAAAACTTATTGTCCAATTTTGAAAGTTTCATATTATGTTTGAAGCCAAGATTAAAGACGGTAGCTTCTGCTAATTACAAAACGAAGCTGATGAACACACAAATATTCTTAAAGAAGATTAAGAATATTTGTCTTTCTTCTAAAAATCTCTGTTTCAAAGAGATTCACAATAACAAAAAAGAATAGAAGTAGCAAAGTTTCAATCTAAACATCGCTAAAAGAAGTTTGAACAAAAAAATAAAATAAAATACATCGCTAAAAGCCATAATGGAATCTTCTAAATGTCACACTGAAACAAGAAGATGAAAGAAAGAAGCAAGTGGATGAATCTGAAAGGATTCATGACTTGGCACAGTTAATAGACGTAAGGAAGTATTCTCCATGGGACAAGTCTAAGATACTCTGCCCAAATCTCTTTGTACTTTTCTGCACATCGAACCTCGTCTCTTCGTTCTCTCCATATCAACAGTATCAGAAGATATATCGGGTAGAAATATGGGACCGGAGAACTGAGAATACACAAGACAGTATCATAAAAACATTCCAGATTAGCTTTTGACCAAACACAGGTTTCATCGATAAGACAAGGAACTTGAAAACATTGGAAAGTTCAAATGGCTGTCTTAAAGATTAGAAAAATCTCAGACTTAGATTCAAGATCAAACATCTTAATCTTAGCCATATCGGTGTTCTACGCTTCAAAAGTTTGAAGACCGGTATTAGTTATTAATATTAGGGGTGGGACGATTCCGGATATCCTGGAATTTCAGAATATCCGGATTCGGATCCGGAATCGTCGGATCCGTGAAAAAACTATCCGGATCCGGAATCGTGACCTCCGGATATCCGGGCTCTAGGAATCTTTCCAAAAATCAGGATATCCGGATCCGAAATTAATATTAAAAATAATTAAAATAATCAATAAATAAATAAAAATATATTTTTAAAATTATTAATAATATTTTAAATGGTATTTTTTCATTATAAATATAATTTATTATAAAAAGAACTAAAATCAATTTTTATATATATTTATTTATATAAAATTAGTTTAATAGATATATAATATATATGGTTTTAATATATTTAATGCGTCCGGATCCGGATCCGGATATCCGGACSTTAAAATTTTGYTATCCGGATCCGGATCYTCTTTTCACGGATCCTARATTTTACTATCCTTATCCGGATCCGGGCTTCCCGGATATCCTAATTTTCGGAGCGATTCCGAACGGATAACGGATCGGATTCGGAGCGATTCCGAACGGATAACGGTAGTTGTAAGATGAACTCAAGCAGTAGAAGTTACCTTATTCCACAGGGCAAACTGAAGGAAAGAGCAAGCATCAAGTCGCCAAGGTAATTACAGTGCCTTGCGATTCCCCTGTAATATATTACAACAGGAAGTAAGTTATCGGAAAATGTATCCTTGTGGAATAAAAGACAGTGACGGGCGAAACCAATCAAAAAAGCTAG